GAGTCTGCTTCTCCCTCTCTCTGTGGCCCTCCCCTCCCATCTGCGTTCTCTCTTTCTTGCTCTCAAAAATAGATTAAAAGAAAGAAAGACAGAAGAAAGAAAGAAAGACAAGGCCATAACTAGAAATAAGAAAATTATGAAAGAAAGAGTTTTATTGGTAAAAGCAAACATACAATAAAAGTAATAGATCAATCACTTTTATAAAGCCAGTGTGAATGTTAAAAGACAAAAGTAGTAACAACAATTGTATCTACAGTAATTAGTTAAGGGATACACAAAATAAAAAGATGTAAACTAAGACATCAAATACATAAAACAAGGTGGGGTGGGAAAATGTAGTGTTTTTAAAATGGGTTTGAACTTAAGTAACCATCAACTTAAAATAGACTTCTATATACATGGGATGTTATATATGAACTTCATTGTGATCACAAAAATCTATAATATACAAAAAAGAAAAAGAAAGGCAACAAAGCATAACACTAAAGAAAGTCCTCAAATTAGGAGGGAAAAGAGCAAGACAATAAGGAAACCAAATGAAAGAACAAGATTGAGGCCTCATTTAAATGGATATTTTAATAACAATGATACACAATGGAAACTAGCTGCTACTTAAAGACTCCCTATTATTCCCATCTTAGTCATCAAGTGATGGCAGGGTAGATATATGTGAACTTCATTTAAAAAATTCCAATTGTGGGGCACCTTGGTGGCTCAGTCAGTTAAGGATCTTATCGTGACTTTGGTTCAGGTCATGATCTCAGGATCACTGAGACTGAGCCCTGCATCAGGCTCTGCACTGAGTATGGAGCCTGCTTACCCTCTGCACCTCACCCCCCACCGCCAGCTTGCACACACACTCTCTCTCCCTCTCTCTCTCTCTAAAAAAAGAATGCAGTATTTGCTTGATTTAGCCATTTAGAAAATGCTCTACAATTGCTCAGCAAGACATTTTGTAAAAATTGAAATAGAAGTGTTAGAAGTTTTAAAAAATGCTCCAAGTAAGAAAACAATTAAGGATGTACTCTCAGGTAAGAAAATGACAACAATTACAACTTAAAAAGAAAAATTAATCTTTTCAGCGTTACAAGTTTATTTAATTCATAAAAAGGGCTTATCATGGATTCTTTTAAATAATAAATATTCATATATGATTAAGTGTTTGGATTCTTATTGTTGACTTATACATAGGGGTGGGAAAAATGGGTAACAGCAAACTTTAAAATTGTTATGAACCATTGCCAACCAGGAAATTAGTCAAAGCATCTAAGTATAGATTTCATTCGTGAGCAATAATATTTACTCTCTAAAATCGAATTTAGGGACGCCTGGGTGGCTCAGTTGGTTAAGCCGCTGCCTTCAGCTCAGGTCATGATCCCAGCGTCCTGGGATCGAGTCCCACATCGGGCTCCTTGTTCTGTGGGGAGCCAGCTTCTCCCTCTGCCTCTGTCTGCCACTCTGTCTGCCTGTGCTCGCTCTCTCTCTCTCTCTCTCTCTCTGACAAATAAATTAAAAAAAAAAATCTTTAAAATCGAATTTAGATGTAGGTTTTCAAGAAATTTAAAATGTGTTAGTTTTGGGGTGCCTGGGTAACTCAGTCAAGTGTCTGACTCTTGTTTTCGGCTCAGGTTATGATCTTAGGGTTGTGAGACTGGGCCCCATGTAGGGTTCTACACTCAGCAGGAAGTCTGCTTGAGAGTCTCACACTCTCTCCCCATCTTGTACACTCTCTCTGTAAAATAAATAAAATCTTGAAAAAATAATAAATTTGTCAGTTTAGTTATAATTATTGAATAAAGGTAATAATAGGTATCTCTTGAAAGTAAGAGCTCCAGGAACTAAGAAAAAAAAAAAAAATCAAAATTTCTGTCTCATTTCTTTATCAGCAAAAATAATTATGACTTTTACTTAGTGTGTATTAGTTAGCTAAGCAACTCAGAATTTTACCAAATTAAAAACAAAAATTATATCAGAAATCTGAAACCCAAGGAAAAAAGGTAAGATAATATAACTAACCTTGGTCAAGAAAGTCCCGATGTCATTACTTGAATGCCATGAGTTTGAGGTAGGAATCATCATGTTTTCTCTTAGAGCAACATTTCTATTGAATAGTGAACTATTATTGACTTTTCTACCATAAGGCAGATCAAGGGCTGGCCTCATATTAATAGTGTCAAGCAAAGTTTGCTTCTGTTGCTTCTCCATCAGAAGTCTGGTACTGGTCTCTGCCAGCCTCTCACTAGTCCTGTTCAGATTACAAAACACAATGCTTAGTATTTCATTTCTCCCCAAATCAGTCCTAAATTACTTGCATTGTTTTTAAGTTTCCATAATAGTAAACAGAATGTGCCATTAAATTGTGTTTTAACATGGTAAATGTGACAGAGCAGACCTACTAAAATTATAGGTTTAAAACTGTTCTAAAGAAGTACATATATTTCTAGGGTTCCTAACTAACAAGTAATTCAAATTAAGGAGGGAGAGAAACGGCTATCAGTGATGTCCATGGCTTAACAGGTAACACCTGCTGCCTTCTGGAATGGTTGTACTTAAAAGATTCTTGGGGATGCCATGACACATACTTATATTTAGTAAACCAGTTTAGAGCTGCAAAAATAAAGCATCCTGGGGGGTCTGGGTGGCTCAGTCAGTTAACCATCTGCCTTCAGCTCAGGTGAGGAACCCCAGAGTCCTGGAATTGAGCCCCACACTGGGCTCCCTGCTCAGCAGGAAGCCTGCTTCTCCCTCACGCTCTGCCTGCTGCTCCCCTCTGCTTATGCTCACTTGTTCTCTGTCAAATAAATATGTAAAATCTTTAAAGGAAAATAAAAAAAAAAATCCCTCAAAGACATTTTTCAAGCATTGGCTTTCACCACTCTTGTACATTTCACACATTACCTCAGAGAGATTGAGCATTTGGCGCTGAGGAATAATTTAGACGAACAATTGCTAGAGGAGAAGTAGATGGCAGAGTTGTGATCAGAAAGAACGAAACAGCTCCAGAGGCAATTAGGTTATAACACAGATACCAAGGTACTGGAGGTGGAATCTGCCCTTTCTGTCTTGACCTTTTGGGTTAAAGACGTACTCTTCCAAAAATAAACTAACATTAATAAATAAATATTAATAAACTCATTTCTATTTAGGATAATTCTGACAATTTTATAATAATATGCTGTCTAAATTATAAACCTTCAAACAATTAGCTTAAAGACTAGGAGATCAGATTAACTGAAAATATTCAAGGGAAAAAAATAAAATCATCTAAAACCAAAAATGAGAGAGATGCAAATTGTCTTAGACAAACATTTCAACAGTAAGTTCATTTACAAGCATCATTTTTCAAAATTATACTATCTAGTTGGCTTTCACTTACTACTGATCTTGTGAACATGGCTCCATAAAAATTATGGTTTAGAGGCAAATTAATAAACTAATTCTACTTCCTATGATTGTTTTAACTTACTTGTTCAGTTCATTTGTCAATGACGTTCGATGCATTACTTCTTCTAGGTAGAGGTGCTTGTACCTGTCCAATTCTGTTTTAGTAAGATCTTCTTGAGAACTTTTCATTTTGAATAATTCAAATTCCAGCTCTTTAATTCTGAGTTCCATTTGACTTCTTACTGAAGCATTATTATTTTCTCTTAACTGTGCTAAGCTTTCTTGAGATGCTACTTGTGTCTAAAGCAAATTAAAAGCATAGTTTTAAAATTGTTACAACCTGGGTAATTACAGTATATTTCTTTCTTTTAGTTTTGTGTCAATGATTCAGAGAGCAATTTTTAAAGTGACAAAAAAAAGCTGAAATGTAAAATATTTATCATCAATGTGAAACCGAATTAAATGTGAATGATGTTAATTCTTACGTTAGAACTCGTGCAACCTGATAATTCAAAGAATAATAAAATCATTTAATTTTTTAAAAAGTGAACAATACAACTTAAGAATAATCAAAGTATATGGGGTGCCTGGCTGACTCAGTCATCTGAGCGCCTGACTCTTGGTTTCTGCTCAGATTGTGACCTCAGGGTCCTGGGATAAAGCCCTGTGTTGTACTTAGCATGAAGTATGCCTGGAATTTTCTCTCTACCTGTCCATCCCCCACTCATGCTTTCCAAATAAATAAATAAGATATTTAATATTAAAAAAGGAATAACCCAAGTATGGTACCACTTTTTTTTTTATGTAGGCATGCCGAGAATGGAGACCAAACAATCAACTGATGGCGCCACCCACATACCCCATGGTAAAAATTTTTAAAGCACAATTTTTTCTTTTCCTCTCAATAGCCTTGTTTTATACTAATTGGTCTTAAAAAATAAAATGACTTTCCATGGTGAATCATTCTGAAAGATCAATTTAGTGTGAATAATGATGAAAACTGAAATTTTTAAAGGGAAGGAACAAATGCTTCCAGAAATTTACCAATTTGCTATAAAGGAAGTAGAGGAAAACTCTACACTGCATATAACCAAAATGTAATTTGCAGTGAAATGAATTAAAGCATTTTAATAAATGAATAAATTAACCTGTAAAAACAGATCGACTTCTTTTAATTTTTCTGCTATGTTCAATCTTGTTCTTTCTTCAAGCTCCCGTTTATATTGTTCTATTTTACTGTATTCTACCATGTTGACTTCTAAACGACTTCTGAGGTTTACTACTTGTTGTTCCAACTTCTTTTTATTCTTCTCTAGTTTTTCACATTTTGTCTGTATTTCTTTCATAGATGATAATTCCTGAGTAAGAACCTGGTTTTTTGAAGACAGAGTTTCCAGTTTTGCTGTAAGATCATCAACCTGCATGAATAAAATAATACAGTTTGGAAGTAGAGTGAAAAGAGTCTAATGCAAAACTAAGACCCCAAATTTTTTTTAAAGATGTTAAATCTCTGCACCAAACATGGGGCTTGAACTCACAAACCCAAAATCAAGAGTCACATATGTTACTGACTACTCCAGCCAGGTGCTCAGATTTTAAAATAAATTCATTTTCAACAAAATGTTATCTATATTGTAGTACAGCCTTGGAATGTGGAACCTCAAATAACTCAGAAAATCAAGAACAAAATTCAAACCACTAGGAGTTGCTAAAATCGATCTCTGCTGTCATCCTCTTTGCCACACATTTGTATTTGATTTTTATACTTTTATTTTTCTATGATTGTTTCAGATTTTTCCTCCATAAAATAACTGTAAGTCACCTCTTAGTAGAAAGTCTCTTAACCTTTCCCTCATCTGAACACTCTATAATTTTTTAAAAGATTTTACTTATTTATTTGAGAGGGAGAGAGAGCAAGAGAGCGAGAGCGCAAGAGCAGGGAGAGAAGCAGACTCCCCACTGATCAGGAAGCCCAGCATGGGGCTCAATGCCAGCCTCCCAGGATCATGACCCAAGCCAAAGGCACTTAACTGAGCCACCCAGGTGCCCTCGTACTCCATAATTTTTAAAGAAGTCTTAGGAATACCATATAGACTGATGTAGGTCTGAGCCAATAAATGCTTACCAAAATAAGACTTTGAAAATAAGACTCTAATTAATGAATCTATAAATACTGATTCTATTGCCATCAGCCTTTTTCTGAATTACGAATGTTTTATGCTAATTTGAATTGCATTGAGGAGAAATGATCCACAAAGTTAAGAAATCACATCTCTCAGAAAAAAAATTTCATAGGGAAAAAAATTTAGTGAGATGATCCATATATTTTTGGACCAAAAAAAAAAAAATTCCTTAACTCAACAGTGTTACAATCCTTTGTTACTTCCCACAAAATAAGAGAATATACTAAGCAATGAAAACAACCAAAAAACTTGCTGGAGTTTCAGTGATACTGAGTTGGGAAGAACTCCTTTCCTTTAGATATGACTGGAAAGACAAGTGGATGTGGTGGTTTTATAAATCGACACTTCTCCCATGACAATCCCTCCCCTTCATATGTGCTGGCCTTAGTAACTGGTTCCTAGTGAACAGAATATGGTAGAGCTGCTGTGTGATTTTTTAAGGCGAGGTTAGAAAATGTGATATAGCTTCCATCTGACTTTCTTCTTCTAGGAAACCTCACCCTTAGAATCCAGCTGTTGTGGGAAAGCCCAGGCTACCTAGTGAGTCTTCATGCAAATATGCCAGCCGAGACTGCCCTAGCTAACATCCTAGCCAAAAGCCAGCCTCAAGAGCCAAACATGTGCATGAACAAGGTTTTAGATGATTCTAGTTCCCAGCTTCCAGTCATCCCAGGTGATGCCAAATGAAGAAGAAATGA